TTATCTTCCATGTGCCTGAGCATAGTCTCAATTGCACAGATCTCAGAGTACTTCCAGCGTGAGGGCGTGGTGGTGGCTTTCCCAGTCTCCTGGCTTTCCCTGTTCCCAGGGACACTGCAGCAGCTGCCAGTCCACCCCACAAACCGAGAGCCCTCCAGTGGAGAAGGGGTTCCTGTGGCTGGGTGAAGGTGCAGCCCTGTATCACTAGCGGGATGGATGATGCCAAGGGGCCCTGCTTCTCCTTTTGCATGCTTTTTGTTCCATCCTATCTGTGTGGGTTCCTCTCTGCATGTGGAAGTGATAGTCTATGATACAGTGTTATCTACAGTCCAAACATCTTTACCTACTATCATCCTTCCTCGCTGGCCATTATCTTTTAAGCCATAGTCACTCTATTGTATGTTGAGGGGTTTTTTTTGGTTGGTTGGCCCTTCTCCCTGTTTTGTGGAGGAGCTACTTCTCTCTGGGCTTGTATTCCATTTAGGAGTTATTTAGTTAAAACTGATGCTGGAATTTCTGGCTTATAGGGGGCTTTTTGTCTATGTTATAAGTTTAGCATATGGTATGGAAGCTCCGTCCAGAATATCCATGAAGTTGAAATGATTGTGCCAAATTGTTTATGCTAAAAGCTTTTCCCTTTGACAGCGCCCCTGTGCGCTGACACAGAGATGTTCCCTGTCACTTTAGGTACATTCTGGTGAGGATGAAAAGCGCGGCTGAGACGGGCTACTGTTTCAACATCAGGAGGCTCCGACTGCAGGAAAAACTGGTCCTGTTGAGATACGATCCCATTGGTAAGAGCTTGGGGAAGAAGTCAGCCAGCTTTGTATAAGCTTCTCTGACTGTGTGGGGCAAAAGACTTGACTATAACAGGATTTTTCCCATCTAAGCAGAATATGTCATAGCATGTTTCATACTCGGATGACTGTACAGTTGCTGTTCTTCATGACATTCCGGTGGGAAGTAAACGTTACCCTCATTTTACAGATTGTGGCACTGAAACAAAGTAATGACTTGCCCGACACATCAGTCTTTGATGACAGCCGTGCCACATGTCAGTGGCAAAGCAAAGTGACACAGGAGTTCTTTCATTCTGTTTCTTTGTGTGGTTTGCTAGACTGTGCTGCCTCCAACAAGCAGCCACGAAGTATGCATCAATAGTAATGTTCTGTTAAGCTGCCATGGGTGCTCCAGACAATAAATTTTAACCATCGCTTACAAAATGGACCTTTTCTTTTAAAGAAATAAACACAAGATCTTTCTCCTCCATAAATGATACCGCTCTCCAGATGACAGTTTGTGGGTTCTTTTATGTTCCTCTGGTCCTTGCAAATTTTCTCAGTTTAAGAATCTGATTTGTTGGGGGGTTAGAGCCCTTGCCAAGATGTCTTTTGCTCACCAAGCTTTTTGAAAGGTGACTAAAAGCTCAAATTTCTGGGAGAGGAACCAGCCTGTAGTTAGCATTAAAAAGTGTAATGTAACGTTAAAAAGCTTAATTTGGGTTAACTTAAGAGTTTAGACCAGACCGTGCTAGAAAATGCATGGGGGAGTTAATGCAAAAAAGGCTTATTTGATCTATAGAATAAAGAAATGTATTAAGCAGCTCTAAGTAGGTAACATAATGCATGGCTAGTACTTATGTGGTTCGAGCTTATTTTTTCTTATAATTTTATGTCGTTAGATGACTAGCCTTTTCATACTCGGATCTAACAGTACAGGAGCTTTATGGCAGGTGAGAGAAACTACCAGAGAAACAGTATGTTCTCATCACAGTGCTCATGCTGACAGATGTTGTGGCTCTTCTTCTGAATTCCACACAGAAGGGGAATTGGAGATCACTGGGATTATTTTCTTCAATAAGAAAATTTTAAATTACTGCATCGAAACATTGTGCAAAGTGATCCTCCAGAAGCTTCACAACTTGTAGGAAATGTGAAAAGAGTGGAGCGCTCAGGCTAAGTAGCGCTTCTGTTGCTGAACATGTAGTAGGTTGTTGAAGTACAAAATTGGAAGTAATTAAGAAAAAAAGCTCTGATCTTTGTAGCCTGTAGTAGAGCACAAGTGAGAAATTGATGTGAGAAAGTGCTGCATGTGTGAAGGGAAGTAAATTTGAGTCTAGATACCAGCTCACATCAGGAATAGGTTTGGAAGCATTTTCACTTGGCATGCATGTTCACCTTATGTTTTGTACTTTTCAAAAACCTGGGACCTCCGCAGAATGACGCTTTTTAGTGAAGTAGGGGCAGTAGTGCCCAAGTTTCACTACCTCCTAACTGCAGCAACAGAATGTGTTACTAAGTTGCAGTATTTCTTAAAGCGAAACTTTTATGTGGAAGAAGTGATTTTGTTATTGTGTGGATTGCTGTTGCGTAGCTTTCAAAGGAATTCCTGTAATGAAGTTCAATCAGAAGAGTGGTGCTTCTCAAATGGCACTGTAAGGCTTTGATTTATTTTTATATTTTTATGGGTTTTTAGTAATGCATTGACTTTGTTTAACCTGTAGTTGAACTGACTTTGATAACATCTGCATCAGGTGTTGGAGGCAGGGTCAGTTTGTGCCTCATTGAGAGGTCCACAGGACGCTTAGTCAACTGTTCTGTCAGTCTGTGAGACCGACTGGATCCAGCTCATCATCTGTAGTTGTTTGGGCTCTGAAGTTGAAGAGTAGTAGAAAGCAGTAAGAACCTATTTTTGTCCCTCCATCGAGCAGCTGTGACTCAGAGTAGTCACACACAGCAGCTGTTGAATGTTTTCAGCCACTTAAATCCTGATACTTATTTTCATGGAGGTAAAATGGACCTCTTAGGAATTAGAAATTACATGTGGTAAAGTGAAAGCACTACTGAACTCCGTCAAGAGTTGGTTAACAGCAGTGCTGTGCCAGTCAGTTGCTCCACGCTCACTTAAGCAGCGAAGGCAGCCAGGAGAAAGGGATGTAGGCTTGTTGAATTTCACCTCAATGCTTCAGGCTTCTTAACAGATTCTTTCCTCCCTATAGCAAAACAACGTGTCCTCTTCACAGAGAAGAGAAAAATCCGCTCTATCTGAACAATGACTGGACTTGATTTATGCACGAGGAGAGGACAGTTTAGGGGGAGGACGGGGTGAACGCTGATTCAGAAATCCAGCAACATGGGCTGAAAAGAGAGGAAATGAACTGGGATCACCGTCTCCTGTGATTTGAAGGCCATTGTGAATAAAACAATGTGGAGAGCGAAAATTCTTAATGTCTGGACATAGATCATCACAGTAACATTTATTTATCTTTAGAGTTATTTTTACAGTACTCAATTAAAAAAATTAAATAGCAAATCCCATTGTCTGTGTTTTCCATTGTGAAACAGGCTATAATCTTCAAAGAAACTATTGTTTTATAAGGCAATAAAAATTAACATTTTCCACAGCAGGGATTCAATGGCAGGATTGCAATTTTTTTCTAACCTACCGGCCACAGATTCAACAGTAGTGACCACAAATTGGTGTCATTCCTTGTAGGGGTAGTGTTGCATCAGCTCCTCCCTAGGTGAAGAAGAAGCAATGGGAACCTGGTGAAATAAGATGAGCTTTTGGTCAGATAAGCTGTGACCATAGCTAAAAGGGCAATATTATTCTCAGTCAGGTAAGTAGGATGGATTTTTCACTCCTGGATTTTTATCAAGCATGAAGAAAGTAGATAGCCAAAGTACTTCTCTGATGGTTTTGGAAGTTTTTCTTCTTTAATTAAGCTCACCTACATTTAGTAGTATGGCTAGAAACGTTTTTCAGAGTCCACTTCAGTAGTGCTCTTGTCCTTTTTCCAGTCCGAGGGACCTTCTGCAGTCTGGCAGAGTTCAGAGCACGGTGCCGCAGCCCGTGTCTGAGGCATGCGGGAATAGAGGGGCCAAGGCCAGATACAGTGCTCTCTTACAAGCCAAGCACTGGCCAGGGTGTTTGCAGCTGAGGACTGAAGCTGCAATCTCAAAGCTAATGCTTTGTGTCGTGTGCTAGCATCACACATCAGAAGTTGTGATAAAATCAAGTAAAAATATTACCAGGAGCCCAATACCCTCCAGGTGTTTTGCTGTAAGCTTTGTGTAGGTCAGTATAGCACTTTGTGTGGGACGGCCACAAGCCCGATGGCTGTGTGTGGGGCCAGAGCAACCTGCTGTGCTGCATTTGAAAGACCCACCACCCCATCTTACTGTTGTAGAACAAGAACTAGCAGGATTCCTCAAATAAGAAGGAAAGAGACTTTGCTGGAGAACCTGGGTGCAGTCTGGGCTAAGATAAAATCAGTATGTTGAGCTAGACAATGTCAATTAGAAAAGGTCCCGAGGCAAGTCCTTCCTGTAAGGATATGAAGATTGTGTCCCTGATGCCTGGACGCTCACTGATGCGACGCAGTTAGACTTCCTGATCATTTCCTCCATGGGTAACTTGGGATAGTAAGCCAGGTAGAAGGCCAGTGCTCCCACAAAACTGTCGCCAGCTCCCTAGAATAAAATAACAAACAAGTTTAAGCATACTTGCACAGGGAAACAGTTCGGATGCCTTTACTGGAAAGACAACGGTCGCAGCGCTGATTGCAGGAGTCAGGAAACTGTGCAGGGGTTGAGTTCAATTCTCTTTTCTATGCTTAGGAAATTCTGCCATGTTAAACTAACACCACAATACTATTATCTTTGTGCTCAGCCATTGAATCAAGGTAGATGCTGTAATATGGCTTAAACTTAAAGAAAAAAGCAAGTGTGCTACATTTCAGCAACATGCTGTTATAAACACTGCTTTTGAAACTTCCTGTTGTTGGAGAGTCCGATTTTGATTTCTCAACCTGAATGTTTCATTAAAGCTATTTTTCTGTCATTTAACTTCTGTTTTTCATAAAGGGCAGTGGTGGAAAGGACAGAGAAAAGGGGAAAAAAATAAGCCATGTGGCTTGTGGTGTCTGTAAATTCCTAGTTGCAGAATGATACATTTTGATGCCTCCAGAACTTAGCTATTTGTTAAAAAGTCCCACTAACGAAGGCATACATTTTGATGCCTCCAGAACTTAGCTATTGTTTGTTAAAAAGTCCCACTAACGAAGGTCTATGTTGTGTCCATCACATACACCTCTCTTACTCCTGGGTCAAGCTTTACCACCTCTGCTGAGTTTGATCGTGGGGGTGGAGGACAGTGACATTCGCCTGGAGCAGCCGTGTCC